CAGAGAAGTTATAAGCCAATTAAAGCAGAATGTAAATAGTTGTAGAGACGTTATAAGCTAATTAAAGAAGAATAGAATACAAAAAGAAATAGAAGAACTCAAGTTTCATTGAAACTAATGAGAGAAGCTTACAAGCCATGTTTCTTAGCTTTCTGGTTTAACCAACTCTCACGAAACAAGTAGTATTCAATTCTAAAAGAAAAGCCCCCATTCAACACCTATTTATAATAAAAGACCTCACCATGAACCAAAGAAATCCTTATTCTAATTGAAAGTCTCAATTAAAACAACATTAGTAATGACATTTTCACCCATACTATAATAAATAATTCCATAAGGACCCTAAACTACATATCGAATAGCCCATAAAATCAAAACAGAAAGAAAGAAATCCTAAACTCCCTAAACAACTTAAATACCTAAAAAATAAACCCCAAAAAATCCCAAAAATACTTTCCTAAATTTTAATAGGATAATCTCAAAATAAGAGGCATCTTGTCCTGCATAAGCAATGGTGGATCAAGCCTCCATTTTATCTTGATGAAGAAAACTTGTACGATATTTAAATACACAGTAAAGATTGATTTGGCCAAAATAGCGGTTAGATAATCAAAGTTTAAACCTTAAATTGAGCTCGCTTTTAAATATTTTACCTCCTTTCTTTGCCAAACTACCTTCTGGTTAAGCACAATGGCTCTACAAGTCTCTCCGAATTCTTCTCACTCTGGATCTTTCTAAGCATATTTTCAAGCTCGGAAAGAATTTCAATCTCCTTATAAAGCCCTAAAGTTGAAGAAACAAGATTCTCCATTCTTTTAAGCTTTGATTTCACCTCCCTAAAACTCATGACCCAATTATAGGGATCTGAACGTGTCTTCACAAACTCTATGGAAAAGTGATCAAAGCTCTATAAGCTTGAGTCCATGCAGTATGCATCTATGGCTTTTTTTCTTTTGCTTTGAACACCTCTTACAAAGGGAACACCTCCTTATGGCTGTTGCTTCATGTCAGCCTTGACTTTCACGGCATGATTCTCACCTTATTTGCTCTAAATATCAGCATGGTACAAAAATTTTCTGGGTCCTTCATATGTTTACAAATTTTTCTACGCATTATTTGATAGTAAATATTTGTTAATTAAGAAGGGATATGAACCATACCCTAATGCTTTGGAGCTCTAATTCAGATCCCTCACTTGCTGTTAACTGATAAATTTCTTAATGTAGTGGTTCTTTTTGGTTCTCGTGGCCACATGTTTTTGAGAAATGTTAACTTCTTGTGGCCATATGTTTAATAGCATGATAGTATCAAACAATCAGGTTAGAATTGTTGGGTTCCCTCGGACAGCAAAGTTCTTTTTTTTAATAAATATAAATTCATTCTCTTCCTCTTTTGCTTAATATTTGGGAGTAGTATCCTAATTGATTGGACGAACATGAAATGCTTTATTGAATTAATTATAAGAGTATGCACCTATAAAAAGTCAATCTGAGGCTATTTTCTTCAACTTCTCTTAACGACTTGGGTCAATATACTCTAATGTGTTGTGAATATGATTAAGGGTGATTGTGGGCATACATTGTCTCGTTGGTTGTTACTTTCTGTTCATTGCCCAGTGGGCAAGTATTTGTTTGGCTATATTGAGTTTGGGATTTGGACTTCACTTGGTGAGCTATGTAGGGAAGCCAACTTACAATTTGGTTCAGCTGGCTTCGGCTTGGGTTTCGGCTTGGGCCACTTCAACATAGGAAGGATATGAATCGGGAAACTTTGGTGGGGACAGCAATTTTATAGTCTTTGGGGCAAGGTTAGATGATGAGGGCATATCCTCACAGCATAAGTCTAAATGCAACCAGATCCTTAGGATCTCAACAATAGACTGTAAGAAACCCAAAGGATCTCCTGCTTGCCAATGCTTACTCTCTGCTCTCGCATGCCACCAAGATTAAGGATCTGATGAATAGACTGTAAGAAACCCAAAGGATCTCCTACTTGCCAATGCTTCCTCTCTGCTCTTGTATGCCACCAAAATTAAGGACAGAAAACTCTAGTTCAAAGATGGTTCACTCTTTAACTCTTTTGTTTTATGATGAAATATTTTTCTTTAGTTAGTTGACATCCAAAACACAAGACAGATGTTTCATAAACCTGAGCAACAAAGCAAATAAATGATACAAAAAGTACCAAAACAACATAAATGTCATAACATCTGAAAATTTACAGATCACCAACCCATTGTTAGTTAGATTAAGGAAACCAAAACACAGAAGTATGAGATTCTCAATGTTTGCAGTTCAACAATCCAACAAGATCCCTTAAAATAGTATTTTGCACTTCTTATTTCTCTCCAATAGATTTAAATGCGATAGTTAATTAAACATCTTCCATTTTTCTGTTTTTCTTCAATGTGCTCTGATTTTCAAGTTCCTCAGAGTGTGAGCCACTCCTCCCAGCCTAGCACTCACCAAGATCAAAGATATGACTCTCATTGATCATGTTCCCCGCCAATATCATGACTCAAAAACAGGTAAAGGAAACACCAAATTCAAAAGTTATAACAATTTAACCAATTGGCAATCATCTGATCTTTGTTGGCTTAACAAACCTTCTAACAGTTCAATACTGGCATATACAAAGGTTTCCCTCAATACTGACAGGATAACTTCAAGACATGATCTCTGCGTACCACAGCACTTTAGACATGAGCAAGGATGCTGATCATGAAGTTAAATTAGATCTAGTTTAAGATTAGTTTCGCTTGTTTGTTTTCATCATGTGCACTCAATTCTTAACAGATGCAGCCACATAAAGCATCATGCCACTGCATGGAAGCAATGCAGTAGCATTGCCAAGGGTCCACCATAGAGGCCCACTTAGGCGGTGCATAGCCCACATATATAGCCTCAAGTGTTGATTCCATGCTATCATTTGAAGGATTCGAGCACCAAATTATCGAGTTATCAAGGGTTTCAACTTCGAAGGAGATTATATCCAAAATCAGATTATATTTGCAAATCATTTAAAAAAAAAAGGTTAGAAATTAAAACAAGACCCAAAGTGATATCACACAATGCTTGCGATATGCTTCTAATGCTAAACTGAATACTTTCTAATTTCTCTGAACAACATTGCACTATGCTTGCTTGCTTTCTTAATTGATTGGTGTAGTAACATTCTCTTTCGAGTTTATTGAATTTAATGAATGCATTGGATCACTCTATTTTACATGCTTATATTAGAGAATAAAGACAGAAAATATCAATTACTCTATCGGCAACTCGAACAGTGTATATTTAAGAATAAATACTTAATTGAAACACCTAATACCACAGAACTCACATATTAATGTTATTCTTTGTATTCATATAAATTTTATAGTTTTAATATTTTAAATATTCATAGTCCACATAAGAAGTGATGCATCCACATCATCGCCTCATCAAAGCACATAACACACTGGAACCCCTTGGCGCCTCATAATGCATCCCGCATTTAACTTTGGTGCATTCACCAATCAAACAAAAGTATACAGAACAGAGCCCATTTTCAATCTGGAACATAACATCATACTGACTATAAGATGTCATAGGGAAAAAGAACTACACAGGTTCTCTAGAGGATATTTTTGGGTGAACAAAAGTTTTCATGTGCATCATCATCATTTTAGCCTTTTTCCAATTAATTGGAGCCGACTACATGAATTCTGGTTTTCCGTTCTGCTATGGTTTTCCGTTCTGCTAGATTAAAGGCCATATCCTCAATGAGGCCATAAGTCCCCATATCTTTTCGGACTACTTCTAACCACATTCTTTTGGGCCTACCCCTTGCCCTTTTCAATCCTTCCACTTGAACTAACTTGCACCTCTTAACAAGTGTTGTACTTGGTCAGTGTCATATCAGTGCCATACATGGCCAGCCCACCTAAGTCTACTCTCTCTCATTTTATCGCCTATTGGTACCGCGCCTAAATTCTCTCGAATAGATTCATTTCGAATTCTATCCCTTCTATCACTTGAACAACAAGTTTTCACGTGCATAAGCTATAAAAATCATAGAAGACAAGCATGACGAAACCACTTCACAAGATTTCAAAACAAAATTATGATTTTTGAAGTTCTTCATGTCCTGAATCTATTAGGTAAATTCTTAGAATATAAGCCTGTGTCATGATATCCTAATTATCAGGTAGGATAACCCATTTATGGTTGATCAATTGTCAGAACTTGTTTATTAGATATTACCAATTGGTTGCATCTTAATTGTAATTCCAATGCTGGCAAGGTAACAATTAAAAGAAATTAAATGCAACTACACAATTCAGACATATCACCATAGAGAAAGAAGAGTATACCCCGGGTGTGTAAGGTTTTATTTCGGGAGCAACCCACTCATCAGGAACATTAACATATTTGTCAAATTCATCAAACAAGTACACAGCAAATACATGTGATTTGTCCAACTTATAACCATTTGTCTGGTCCTTAGCTGTCTGAGCTTCCTGTTACACCAAATAACACATTTAGAATGGAATAGATGAAATTATAAGAATATTGACCTAGCAAAGTGCTAGCAAAGTATTAGAAATAATCCAATAAACATCAGCATGGAACTTCAAATGTTGGATACACAACCTTAAATGTGCAGAGTAGTGCATTTTTTTTAAAAAAAGTACATTTAGCAAGATAAAACATTCACTAACGACATTCAAACATCAAATACAGATGCTCAGTCAATCTATACTTCCAGTATGCATACGACACTAAAGGACACAAATAGGAAGGTGTTGAATTTAAAAAATAACAATGTAGAACTAGTTCTATGCAAAGCACAGACACTTTTCCATATTTTGTTGATAATAGATGACTTAGAAGGCATGATAAAGGGGAAAAATTTTATGCAGAAAAAAAATGGAAAATGTAAACGCTAAGGTTTGTAAATTCAGGTGGTCAAGCAAACCAGGTAAACATTTTCTATATAATGTCCTTGAAGAAGCTTACAATTCATTTCTCCATTTCAATTTTACAAGCTGCACAATTGAATATAGGCCTGTGCTATGCACAGTGGACATGAGCACTCAGGTATGCCTAGAGTCTTATGTTCAAGGTAAACAACGCATTGCCTGCCTAACAAAGGGTAATCCGACGAAGCAGTGCTACAGAGTACAGGCCCAGGCCTGTAAAGGCAAATAGACTGACTCTGTACATATCTTTGGAATCGAAACCCTTAACAAAACCACTTCATAGGTCAATTCCAAACCGACGCTTCTGCATGACTGAGGCATTAAGTTGTGGAATGATGAGGCAGGGGCCTCATACTCTCTTATGCATTAATTAGCTTAGTTGGGTGGATTACTGAATAAGTACTGCTGGCCAAAAGCCTCTTGCTTGAGACCTGCCTATCCAACTCTCTTAGCAAGCAGCATTGTGCATTGTGAAACAAAAACAGAGGGTTGTGGATAAGTGGAAGGATGAGAACGATATATTATTCCAATATGATAGTGTGACAAAGCATCAATATCATTTGGTCAATAAAATAAATTTAAATAACATAATTAGATTAATTCGGTTCACAAGAGAAATAATAAAGAGCATTGAATTGATAGCGACTGAGAGGATTGACTTGGGGACACTTGGTGTACCACGTCTATTCCAGACAAAGGAGCCAACAAGCATGGCCACACAAGGTTAGCTTTAATAGGCACCAAGTTTCTATGACCACATATGCATTTTTCTCAAGTCATGAACCACAGGTCTTCATCTATTTCACTTGTCTTTCTTCTGGACAAGAAGCCCTAAATGAAATGGGTATGAGTCTGTAGAGGGCAATGCAGGTTTCCATCCGACTTTTTCTACTTTGTAGTCATTTTTTATGGAATAGCAGTCCAATCATCCCATCATGTGGCTCTTCTGCTAATGCATTCATCATTAGGATTGGAACCCAAAGTGCCGGATTTGGTTAAGTCCCCTGGAGATTTACAATGTGCCCCTTATGAGAGGTGATCCTCCTTTTGGAATGATGCTTTGTGCTATAGAGGAGTGTGATACTCAATTTCTTCCGGAAGAAGGCTTGAGTGAGGAATAATCTTCATTGCAGATAGAAAGACTGCCAGCCCTTCGTGCTAAGTTAATCTTGGTCTATCTTTAAACATTTTGCAAAGAGGTTAGGATGTTCATCTTTAAACATTTTGTAAAGTATAATTGTCCAATGCTTCTTTTTAGCCAGCATTCTCATGCGAGTGATTTGGCAAGCAGCTATAGAAACTTCATGAACAACTATCGTGCGGGACTTGCATCCAAAGGTTATGGATTAAGTTATGAAGCTCAATCAGTATGACAATTTTTCTCGATCACTAACTGAATTGAGTATAACATTGCTAGCAGTTTCAAGTGATCCCCCATGTGGTCACGATGAGATCAGATAAATATGACAGTTTAGAAATTATACAACTGATTGGTAGGAATTGGTTGGAAAATATGAAACTCCTTTGTTATAAGTACCCATGGTACAAAAAAAAATTAAAAGTAATCCACGTTCATTATTGACTATAGGAGAAAAGGTAAACCCCAAACAAAGTATATACAGTTTCTTATAGAGAAATAATCCACATGATATACTTTGCCGACAATATTTCTTTATATGTGAAACATTTTACGTTTGAAAATGATACTCCACACTGGCCTAATGGGGGAGTTTGATATGGGAATCCGATATAATCCAAGGGGCTTGGCTCAAGTTAAAAGATAAACACCACAATGAGAACAGAGACCTAAGGGCATATAAAATTCTAACCACAATTTGGAGAAGTTTCCTGAAAAAAGTCACAAATAAAACTCAAATTGTGCAATCTGATTTCCTAATAGGAATTCCTATATCGAGAAATCTTTTTTTTTTATGCTGTATAGATGAAGTAGAGTAATGCAAAAAAAGGAGCCCCGAAGGGAGATACAAAAAAGGTCACCAAGGGAGGTGACAAACCCAGCCCAGACACAAAACAAAAAAACCCAAACCCAACAAAGAAATCTAAGACAGGAAAAAAAGGAAGAAAGAAAAAACCTTTACACGAGAAAGACCCCCCAAAACTAAAACAAGATACTAAGAGCTATGCCCAACAACTGAAGAAGCCCCAAGTTTGGTGAGCTCATCTGCGACGTGGTTGGCCTCCCTCCAGATATGCCTCCATGAGACCTGAACAAGGCTGCAAAGAACACGGATTTCATCAAACAGATACCAGAGTCACCAAGGTGGTTGGGAACTGCTAGAAGCCCAAGAGAACATTCTGGGAGTCCCCTTCGACTAGGAGGAGGGGGGCCCAAGAGTGGTTGAATCGCCTAAGATCTTCTAGTATGGCCCGGTTTTCAGCCTCAGTGCAGTCCGTGATTCCGAAAGACGAGGAAAAATAGCCCAAGGGAAAAACCCTGGGCATTTCTGAAAATCCCACCTATTCATACTGAACCAGGGTTGCCTAGCAACAACCCATCGAAATTAAGTTTGATGACTCCCCTGTCTGGGGGCCTCCAGAGTGTCGAGCGAGGCACCTTCCTCGGCTGATGGCTGAGGATATTAGCCCAGTTTGAGTGGAAGTCGAAGCCATGGAGGAATTTGAAGTGACTGGGATTAGTGGCCCATAAAATGACAGAGGCGCGAATGGTGGCTTTGAAATTGGGGGATGGAGGCTGAAAGACCCTTGAAGATCCTGCTGTTCCTTTCCTTCCAAATGGTGGCGGCCTTCCAAATGGTGGTGGCCATCAGTGCTTTCCATAGTAGGGCCCCAGAACGAGGCCATGGGAGGCAAGAAGAATTGTTGAATAGTAGGGGTACATTTTCGGGTATGACCCAAACCCATTGAAAAAGAGCAAGAGAGTCCCACCAAAGAGAGGCCGCCAGAGGACAGTGGATAAAGAGGTGAGCATTGGTTTCCTTAGCCTGGAGACACATCACACACCGGTTAGGTAAGGGCAAACCTCTCCTCTGGATCTGGTCAACTGTTAGGACTCTCTCCCCCAACACGCCAGCCAATTGAAAACCTGAACTCTGGGTGGGATAAAGGAGCACCAGGTTTTGAGGATAGCTGGATGGCAGATAACAGACTTGGGGTGAGTCAAAATTAGGCTATGGTAAAGGAAGGAAACCGTGAAAGACCCTGAGGGGGTCAGAGTCCAAATAATCTGGTCTTCTCCCCTAGGGAAGGGGGGAACGGTGGAGATGAGAGCAGAAAGAGAAAGAAAAGCAGAGAGTTCATCATCTCAAAGGGCTCTAAGAAGATCTAAGTTCCATGTTCTGCGGGAGCCCGTAGAAGGAAAGCGATCAAGGATGGAGGCTGAGGGAGTAGAGGCCAAACAAAAGAGAGAGGGGAATTGAGTGGCAAGAGGTGAGTTGCCGAGCCAGGTGTCTAGCCAGAATCTAACTTTGAGTCCATCCCGGGGTTGAAGACGCGAAAAGGACCTGAATAAGTGAATGGAGTGGAAGATAGACCTCCAGAATCCTGAGGCCATCTGGGCTAGCCTGTGGGGGGTGGACCAGGTAAAGGAAGCAAGGTGGTGTTTGTGAGATAAGATACGGTGCCACAGATGATTACCTTGGGTGGCCAGCCTCCACCACCATTTGCAAAGAAGGGCAAAGATTAGTAAGCTTGAGATTACGGATAACGAGCCCTCCTGCTGGTTGAGGCAGGCACACTTGTTTCCAAGCCACGAGGTGGTATTTCTTGTTGGTGTCGTCGCCGGACCACAAGAAGTTGCGCATTAACTGCTCTAGGTGCTCCTGCGAGAGGCCAGGAGATGGAAGAGAGACATCTTCCATTCAAGATAATCATAGATTCCTAGGCAATAATGTTCGTATCGTATGATCGTACTGGTATTCCATTGTTACCACAAAGCCGATCCACCAGCTTTCTTCACTCATGAGCCTTGTTAAGCATGTGCATGATCACATAGTGGCACAACAAAATTAAATATCTTACTCATGTTTACTGCAGCATATAACTCAAGAAAGCAAATAAAGCACATCTAAGACACTTCATATGAGAAACTAAAAGTAATAGTAATGAAATCCCACTTTGGTAATGGAATCCCACTTTAAAAGGGAACAATGGGTACACAGGATAACCACCTAAGTTACTAAGCATCATTTGCATTGTTAAGCATGAGCATGCAACCAACACACGTCGGTCACACGCGCGCATGCATGAACACGCGTGCACACACACACACACAGAGATGACAATGGATATACAATTCCAATGCATAGGAGAACCACCCAAGCATGCATTTTTAAACATGAGCATGAAACCAACATGCATTGGAAACCAATAAAAAAAAAAAGAAAAGAGGAGGAATAAAAGAGTATGAAAATGATATAAACATCCACCACATATTCTGCACATGAAGTAAGGTTGACAGTGACTACAAGGTAGTTTCTTTTTTTCAAAGGATGAATAACAAGTTCCCGATCATTGTAATGAAGAGCACAAATGAATATAACAGCACATAATCAAAATGTGACGCATTTCATCAGTAAACTTACAAAACTAGCCATCAAAAACCCTTTCAAACGGGTCAGAGGGAGTGAGAAAATTATTACTTGTGGAGTGCTGTATTCGATGAAGCAATATCCTTGGGTCTTCTTCGTCTCCTGATCAATAGGCATCCTAAGCCCTCCCTCTCTAATCACACCAATCTGCCCAAATATCTTTCTTATTACAATTTCTAGCTTCTCAAACTTCTCAGGAGCAACAACTGGTAGATTATAAACAATGATTATATTCTCAAAACCAGAGTCGAATTCCAACGCTTCTTCCTCAACCACATCATCATCACTGCAAAGGAAAACTTCAAAACAATCAAAGAACATTAAAAAGCAAAAGTGATCAGACATTTAGAGAGATAGAAGAAGCAAGAGATAGGGTTTATCTGTAACCTTGGTATGCCATAGTCATCACCAGGTGGGAGCTGGATAGACTCGAGATCAATGTTGGAGATGTCGATCTTTGAGACGTCGATGAGTGAAGAAGAGCCCAGGTGGTGTGCTGGTAATGGCAATTCCATCGCTTCCGCCATTGAAGAATAGAATATATTAGGACTCTCTCTGGGAACTTTGTTTGATAAACTGTGGTGCTGGTATTTTCACCTGTTTCGTATTGAGAAAGTTGGACCATTCATTATGTATTTCATTGATTTAATGTGCAGAATGCATATTTTGAATAAGATTTTATTGCTTCAACCCAACTAATGCATTTCTTATAAAATGCACGATTGAGACTGAATTAGTTCTTATATCTACATAGCTTAAAAGTGGAAGACACCCAACAATAATTGAAATTGCAATCACACCACTACACCAAAAAAGATAAGTATATATCCATATCAAGAGGTTACCACTAGCAGCAACGCCTTAAGAAATACCTAAACCTAGAAGTTGCAATCATGCCAGTACACAAGCCTAGAAAGGCATCCACATCCATATGCTTAAATTGAAGCAATAGTTCTCATGGAATTCCAATAAATATTATACAATACTAACAGTCTAACCTGCATTCAAAATACATAAAGGGGTCCATTTTAGTTATACACATTACTTTATCCTTCCTAATTCAAATTTAAAAAAACAAAAACCATTAAAAACTGTCACTTCGCCACAAGGACCAAAAACTTCAGCTAGCAAATGGGTAACAAATTTGATCAAGTTTAGTGCCATAAAGACCAAACAGATCAGTTTGCACATTCAGTCAAGATCTAGCCCTACAAAAGCCATACGGCCTACGAATTACCCATCAAACAAAAAATATTTCGATTTAACAAGGCTCAACAATAAAATCAAATAGAAAAAACCCGTCACAAAAAGATTCAGACTTACATCATCTATCAAATCAAATAGAAAAACCCATCACAAAAAGATTCAGACTATAACATCATCTATCAAACATGAACCAATAAAAAAACACAAGAAGTCAAAAACGCACAAAACATCAAAAAGTTCAGAAAAGTAAAAAGGAAAAAGAGCCCATACTGCCAAAGAGAAACTTGGTTTCTCTCCTTCCTAAGATCCAGCACAATTCAAAGAGATGAACTTTATGCTTTAATAAAAACAACTAGAAATATAAGGTCACAAAAATCCAAAAATAGAAGTTTCGATAGCAAGCATTATCTTGATAGAAGTCTTTTAATTTTAAACTGTGTTGATTCACAACATACTATTTTGTAAAACAAATGTGGATTCAAGTTATAAACTCAAATCAATTGACAACTCCCAACTGTCGGGAAAACCAGTTAAATCAGTTTCACATATCTCTAAGTTATCGCCATGAGATGGAATACATGAAGAGCCTGTGACAGAGAGGATACATACAAACACTTCAATGAACCATGACAAGATAGAAGTCACCATAAACTGACTTACAATACACACCGGCATGATATCAAACCTAATGATATTCAAGTGTTGCAACGAAAAAACAAACTCAAGACAATATTATTACAATACACAAAAACACTTCAATGAACCATGACAAGATAGAAGTCACCATAAACTGACTCACAATATACACCCTGTGCATGATATCCAACCTAATGATATTCAAGTGTTGTAACCAGAAAACAAACTCAAGACAATATTATTATTCAAGGTAGTATGACTCACGTGAAGATCAAGCCAAGTTGAGCCAGGACTTGAGTATGCAGAGTGCAATATTTCTTAATTAGGAAAAGATAAAAATACCAAAAAGATAACATGGATAAATCATACACCAACAAAAAAAAGAACAAGAAAACTCACGGATGCAAGTCCACAAACAAACAAAACATAAATATCTCAAAACATGCATGCACAAACTTATCAAAGTTCATATATAAACAAAGAATTAGCCTAGCAACTTCAATTCTAACACAGTTACTCAATCACCAAAAAAAATTTGAATTTATTAATCCCTATAATAAACTCCGAGACAAGTTCTCCAAATCAAATATCTCACTCACTCAGCTAACCCAAAGGAAAGCAAAAATAAAAGGTACCAGCAAGATTAAACAAAAAAATTAGAAGAAAGCATAATGAGAAGAAACAAGTAATGAAATAGAACGAAAACATGGAATACAATACCTAAACCATCTATTCTAACAACAAATCTAATTTTTTTTAAAGAAAAGGATGTAATAAAAAGAACGATTAAACTTGTAGGTACACATTTCAATTACAACTTCCAAATCTCATGTACAATTTTCTTTAACAAATTTCCATCTATTGGTTCTTGAAGCATTTTCTTCTGAAAATTTGATAAAACCATATGGTACTTTAAAGAATATGGCATGTAATTTTCACAAATTTAGATATAAAGAAAACACAGCGATAGAAGGAACCTTTGGCATAAATGAGGGTGGAGGCCATAGATACATTTGTAGGATTAGGATATTGGAAGTGAAAGAAGCTTTGAAGATGATGAAGATATGAAAGTTTCAAAAAAAAAGAAGATGATGAAGATAGGAAAGGCTTTAGGACCAGATGGTATCCCGATGGAGATTTGGAAGTGTAAGAGGGACATTTGCATTGATTGGCTGACCAAGTTGTTCAACAAGGTGTTGAGAAAAAAGAAAAAACCAAACGGATGGATGAAAAGTATTGTGCTACATATTAATAAGAACATATGACGCATAAAAAATTGTGCAAACTATCGTGGGATCAAACTCATAAGCCACACCATGAAGTTGTGGGAGAGCGTGATTGAGCAATGACTAAGGCATGACTCGAGAGTATCAAGAAATGAATTCGGTTTTATGTCAGGGAGGTCAGCAGTTGAGGCTATTTTCCTACTTAAACAACTGATTGAGAATTTTAGGGCAAAAGGAAAAGATTTCCACATCGCCTTATTGATTTAGAGAAAGTTTATGATATAGTACCTCAAGATTTAATTTGGTAAGTATTAGAAAAAAAAAAAAAAATCTCCAAATACTACATCAACTTGGTGAGAGATATGGACGAGAGAGTGCTAACTAATGTACAAACAACTAATGGAGAGACGAATGAGTTTTTAGTAATAATATGTCTACATCAAGGGTCGGCATTGAGCCCATACTCTTATCTTAGTTATGGATGACTTAACTAGGCACCTAAAAGATGAGGTACCGTGGTGTCACGAACAACTTGATTTTAATTGATGAGACCCACATCATCAACACGAAGCTAGAACTTTAGAGGGATGCTCTAGATATAAAGGTTTAAAATTAGTCGGACTAAAAAAATTATATAAAATGCAAATGTAATAATAATATGAGTAGAGATGAGGAAGTAGTTAACATTGATGGCCAAAAACTACTAAAAAGAGCGCACTTTCAATATCTTGGATCAATAATTTAGAAAAATGGATAGATTGAGGAAGATGTCATGCATAGAATTAGATTTGGGTGGGCAAAGTAGAGATGTGCAATAGGAGTTTTGTATGATCGCCACATACCAATGCCGCTGAAGGGAAAAATCTATAGGACAGTTGTGAGACCAGCTTTGCTTTATGAGGCAGAATGTTAGGCGGTCATGGAACAACATATCTATAGGATGAGTATAGCTAAGATGATGATGTTGAGATGGATGAATGGAAAGATAAGAAGGGATAGAATTTAAAATAAATACATTCAAAAGAACTTCGATCTTGCCCCAATAGGCGATAAGATGAGAGAAAGCAAACTTAGGTGGGTACAGCGCAATCCCAATATGGCAGTGGGTTGGCCATGTGCAGTGCAATCCCAGTATGGCACGTGTTAGAAATATGAGTTGGTTCAAATGGAAGGCTAAAAAAGGGTAAGGAGTAGGCCCAAGAGGCATGGTTGGAAGTAGAGTGAAAAGATATGGGACTTATGGCCTTACTGAGGGTATGCCCTTTGATAGTGCAGAATGGAGGACCGGTATTCGTTACTGAGGGTATGCCCTTTGATAGTGCAGAATGGAGGACCAGTATTCGTGTAACCAACCCCAAATAGTTGGGAAAAGGCTCTGACGATGATGAGGTATAGAGAAAACACCACCAGTCACAAGAAAACAAAAAAATAGCTATAGCTATTTCTTGGTCAGAAAAAATTAGCTTCATTCAATGAAGAAACAATCCATGATCGTAAAAACACAGACACCACAAAAAGAAATAATTCATCAGAAGAAATAGATAAATACATGAAAACGAGAATTTATAGTCTATAAAGAGAAAGAGATAGGGAAAGGAAGAATCCAGGTTGACCCAGCACAAATGCATAACAAAAATTCATCTACAAAATCCCAACATTATGCAGAAAAATACACCAAGTTCAGTGCTATCAAATGAAAATAAATGTGGAAATCATGTTGCAGTCCGCACGATGGATTCTATAAATACTCTTGATGTGTATTTGGGGGGTTAAGAATAACCAGGAAAGAGAGAAAAAAAAAAAAAACAAATATAAATGCTCTCTACAGATTTAAGGTTATTCTTCTCTGAGATTAATACAAAAACGACGAATCAAAAATAAAATCTCTTCGTATATCTGTGGGTTATCTTCTTTGAGCTCAACAAGAAATAAATAACTAAAAGCAACTCACTGTATCTCTCTGAGCACTCTTCAGCGCAGCAATGGAAAAATTAGGGCAATAGACCAAGGTCTGGGGCGAGGAGGAGGAGCTGCTGTGGAAGGATGGGCGGGAGAGTTGTGCAGCGCCTACTCATCGCAGAAAGTTGCGGCCCAGGGGCATCGGCTGCAAGTTTCTTTTAAGAACAATTGTTTCATGCGGGCTGGACTACATGGATGCAATGTCCATTTATAACTCACGGACCGAATGTTTTCTTAATATAATTATTATTTTTAGTTTTTTTTTAAAAATCATATCTATGACCTCTATGTTGAAGTTTATATATAGTCTAAAGATTAAAATTAAATTATATTTAAAAAACATATGTATTGCCACACGTACATTTCTACAATATGGGGACTGGCCGCATGCCAACCGAGTCCTTCTTTTAATGGATTTAGGTTATTCGATATTAAAATCCTTGCTTTAAAACCAAGGTAAGCAAATTTTAGCAACTTGATTTTTGCAATACTACTGTTTGGGTAGCTTCTATTTTATTAAGAATATTTTTTATTTTGTATAGATGCGAATTCATGAGAGGATTGGATGTCCAAAATTTGGTGTTAAAATATTTAATATAAAAAAAATTAAAAATAAAATAATATAGAGGGTGACATTGTGATTGGAGTCATCTAAGCCGACCATTTAGAATGGGCAGTTGGATAGGGAGAAGTATAGTAGTTTTATGCTATAGGAAAAGCATAGATGGATAGGGGGAAGTATAGTAGTTTTATGCGAAGCATATAAAGCTTGCCCTTAAAATAAGGGGTGCGGTTTGTATATTGTCGAGGCTCTAAATAATCAAAGTAAAGCCCACCTTTAAATAGTATCAAGAAATGTGGTTTCAATATTGAAGATCTTTGTGACAGCTTTAAACTATATTATTATGGGAAACTCTTCCCAACGCTTATAGGAAAAAATGAACAGTGATTTCGCCTACTATCATTATCATCCAAATTTCATCGCAAGGTCACAGTTATCTAGTAGTGTTTCAATTTTCATTTTTTTTTTACAAATCCAAATTACTTGAAATTTACAGTGTGTGTACATCTTAATGAGGCGCACCCAATAAAAATATGAAAAATAATAATCCGTAAAATATAAATT